GGGGGGGGGGGGGGGGGGGGGGGGGGGGGGGGGGGGGGGGGGGGGGGGGACGGGGGGGAATAGGAAGAGGCGGCAAAGTTGGCACACACACGCCAGAAGGGGCGGGAAGGAGAGGGAAGAGGGTGAGAGATGGTTCCAGTTCGTGACTTCGGCCTGCATCCCCTGTGTGCATCCACCTCGTGTCTAGTTTTTCATTGTTACTGATGACGTGCAGTACGTGCGAGGGTGTCTCGAGAAAGTAAACTCCCGTTGCAAAATAAAACCCAGTACTCCATCCAAAACATGAGATAAAACTCCGGTGAGTAAATTTTTCCATTTTTTCCCCTCATTCCTTTCCTTTTACTCCGATTCATTTCAATGAATTTGCACTCGGTTGAATTCTATTGTCATTTTTTCTTCTTCCTTTGTATATTCCGAGGGTTTTCTGGGTCGTTCCGATAGAACGAATAATTACGATTCTCCGTAATTTCAATGGGAATTGAATGTAAATGGGTTTTTTCTCGTCAAATCGATAACCCAAATACGTTTTTCTGTCATAACGATAGTCCCGTAGGGGATTTTATTGTTCTGGATTGGAATAAAAGAAGTTACGTTTCACAGTGCGTAGGGTGGCAAAGGGCGGGGATCGTTTTATAGGCGGACAGCCCCATTCTGGGCCGCGTGGTTCGTCGTTAACAATCCGTGGAGCAGTGTTTGGGTATTTTAGCCTGCCAGGAGTCATTCTCCCCCGAGGATGCAGGAGTTAAAGTTCGATGTTTCGTTTTGTGGTGTGTGGAACAGGGAAAACAGTGGAATGACACTGGGCCGATTATTGCCTTACCGATTCCACTTGGAGGGAAGCGAAGAATCGATTCACCTGTAGCTTGGAAACATTGGAATTCGATACGTCGGTGTGATAAGGAGAGAGAGAGAGAGCACCAGGAGGGACTGACACGTAGCAAAAGTCAGTGGTGGTGGCATCGAATGAGGAATAAGGGTGAGGATGATTCGACGCTCAAGGGCAATTGTTTCGCACAGTCGACAAACTCGGAGGATATGCACTCTTTAGAATTCCAAGAGTACATCGGACGTTGAGAGACCGAGAGAGATACAAAGGAGGGGGCGACGAATAGTGAGAAGAATAGAGGGGAGACGATTGTCAGAGGGTGGATCAGGAGGGTGAGAGGGAGATAAGAAATACGATGGGTGAGAGCTCGCCCGACCTCAGCCTACGGCTACGCCGTGGCAGCTCAGACTCCAGGGACTCTTTTTATATGGATTTCGCACAGGTAAATTTCCACTCTGAATTTCAATTAAGAGTCATTGCTGGCGGTTCAAGCAGCGGGGGTGCTTGAGTAAACGGGTGAAATTCTTTTTTAATCATGAGGCGGGAGGAAAGTGGTGGAAATGAGGAAATTCAGGGGTGGGGTTTAATTAAATTTTTATGCTCTAGATAATTGGGGGGGCTCGGGGGTTTTGTGGAAAATCATTGGGGGAGTTTTGAATGGTGAGGAAAAATTAATTGGAGGACGAATTTGAGGGGGAGGGGGACAATGGGATACATCAATAGCGCTTGGGAGACAGTTTTTGCTGAGTATCTGAAAATCTGGGAGGGAGGGCTCTATTTTTGCGGGGAAACGGGGGAGTTATGAAACGGGTTTTTGTTGAAAATCGCTGGATTCTGCAGATTTGAAGATATTTGTCTGGATGTCATTTGTAATTGTTCAGTGGTTAATTAATAAGAAATTGAGGATCGTTTTTAGCATCAGGGGTGCTTGAGTAAATGGGTGAAATTATATTCTAATTAATAGGGGAAAGATAGAGTTGGGAATTTCATTGAATTTTTGTGCTGCAGATAATTGGGAGAATAGAGAAGTTTTGTGGAATATTGTTCAGGACGTTTTGAATGTTAAGGAAAAATTAATAGTAGGATGATTTTAATGGAGAGGGGGTACAATGGGAAGACCCCAATTTTTTTGTAGAGAAAAGTGGAATTTATAGATCAGGTTTTCGTAAAAAAATTGCAAGATTCTGCAGATTTCAAGATATTTATCAGAGACTTATCTGCAAATCACTACTGAATTAACAAGAAACGTTGGAATTGAGACTCTTTTTTAATCAGTGAGGAAAATTTAGAGTTGAGGGTTTAATCAAATTTTTCTACTTTAGATAATTGAGAGAATGAGGGGATTTTGCTGGAGTTTTGTGGAGAATCACTGAGGGAGAAAGTTTCAATGGTGGAGGAAAAATTAATTGGAAGATGAATTCAATAGCGGAGGGGTATAAAGAGATTGATTAATTTTGTTTGAAAGTCAGTTTTCGCACAATATCTTGGAATTGTAACGAAGTAACGAAATTTTAATGGGCAAACGTGAGATCTATGAAGAGTGATTTATAAGTTTTGAAATGAGACCTGACTCATCCAAATCGTACCATTTTACCATCAGAAGTGTGCGATTAAAAACATCTCATTTTACTTTTATTCTCTGAAAAAATGTTTTCTGCAGAAAAAGTGATATTTTCACACAAAATTTTGTTCTCTTCTTCAGTTCTAAAAATGTTAAAAATTTCATAAATTTTGATGAATTTTATGAGTTTTTAAAGGTTCTGATTTGATTTTCATAGATCTAATTTGACCTGTATTCTCTGAAGAAATATTCTCCACAGGGAAAACTCATATTTTTGAAAAAAAATTGCTCTCTTCTTGCCTTCCAAAGATGTTAAAAAAACTCACATTCAATTCACTACCAGCTCCATCGATATTTCATTCAAGGTTTGCGACTTCATTTATTTTTACTTCACATTGAACGGAAGTTTGTTTGCCTTTTTAGGGCATTGATTCAGACATTGAGGAAGTGGCACGGCCCGCCGACAGCTCAGACCCACTTGCTGAGAATAATCTCGAGGACAATGAAGTTGACATGGATGAGAATTTTCCACCATTGGACGATGTCTGTGGTACAATACCAGAAGAGGCGTCCGAGGAGTTACGTGAAGAGGAGGAGGCGGAGGCGGCTGCACTGGAGGCAGCCCGAGACAGTCCAGACTCGCCGGTAATTGCCGCCATTACGAAGAGGGCGCAAAAACCAAACGAGTGAGTAACAATTTACCCTCGTTTCACCCCACCCCTCTCGTTCAATTTACTCTTCATCCATCTACTTTAAACTTTACTCTAATTCTGAATGGATGCTTCAATACCTATCTTATTACCGACATTTGTACTCGAGGGCGAAAGGGTGGAATAGGGGGAAATGGAAATTCCTAGTATTTTCATTAGGAAATGGAGGCTTACAAATGTCAAAATGTCGAGTTGAAACCGTTCAGACTATTCTCAGAAGTTCGGAAAACGCATTTTCTAAATTAAAAGGAGAATTGGAGCTTGTGGAATTTCTAGGAAAATTTAAAAATAGAAAATGGTGCTTTGGTGCTTTTAGGGAGATTGATTCGGTGTTTGAGTGCTGAGAAATATTCACAGCTTCAGAAATCAGCTCCATTATGTTGCGATAATTCTGATAAATTTATTAGAGGATATTTTTTGTTGAAGAGTTTATGGACTGTAAAGAATGTGTTTTTACATTTTTGCATTATTTTGTTTAAAATTTATTTTAAAACATAATTGGAGATCAATTTCTATCTAAATTATCTCAACGAAATTGTTAATTGATCCGACTTTATCGTTCGCTGAAAAATTTATTCAATTAGAAAATAATTGTTTTGTGAACAAAATTTTGAACATGAAGTTAAATTCAATATCGCGAAAAATATATTTTGAATCCTATTGGCAGCACTGTTGGAGAAAAATTGACATTTCATGGACAGTTGACAAGTAACTTTCAGAAAAGTGACATTGAATTCAATTTAAGGGGAAAGAAATAGTGAAATTTCAGTTCTCATCGAAAATTCAAGAATATATTTACCTGAATTTTCCTAATTTCCATGAATTTTCAAGGAATAATTTAACCGAAATTTACAGATTCCATAGATTTTTTAATTTTCAATCTTCGAATGCAAAATTTTTTGGAATTTCATTGCAACTAAAAGATAATACGATAAAAATTTCCAAGAAGTGTCCCGGAAATTTCAGTCAAACATTTGTAACAGTGAAGATCCATCTCAATATTTGATTCCGCCCCCGGAACCGCCGATAATAAACGTCTCGCCCTTCAGCGAAACGCATTCCCCCTTCCTCGCGGCTCCCGAAATACCGATAAAACCGTCGCTGGGAAACCGATTGCCATCCGTAATCATTCTCCAAAACTCCATTTACTTCCTGCCCCGGATATCGAACGTATTACACACCCCCTCGTGTAAGCAATGGAATCCAGAAAACTCTAGATTATCCATGTGACGACGTTTCGGTGTTAGATCATATCATTCATGACAGAATGTGCATAATCCATTACTGGATTAACACGAAATCTTTGATTCCACTTGAAAATCAGCTTTTAGACAGGTGAAATAATTTTGTAATCAATAGGCGACAGGGAATTCAGTTGCAATGGGAAAAATAGACCTGGGGGTTTGATCGAATTTTTATGCTCTAGATAATTCGGGGAATAGGGGAGTATTATGGGGAATTTTGTGGAAAATTGTTGAGGGTGAGAGTTTTGAATGTGGAAGAAAAATCCATTGGAGGATGAGTTCATGATATTCATGTAAGACCCATAAACGAGTCATAATTTGCACACTTGGAAAAATTATTGTGCAGCAACAGAAAAATTGTCATTCTACATACAAGAATTCTTCTGGTGCTACACAATAATTTTTCATTTATGGTGCTCAGCACACGAATTTTTCTATAAAATTTTTCTCCGTGTAGAGGGTACAAGAGATTTCTACATGAGATTTTTTTTTTTGAAAGTCATTCTTCGGTGAATATGTTGGGATCAAGGAGAAATAGTGTAATTATGGCAGAGAAACACGAGATTAATGAAAAATGTTCTCATAAAAATCGTCTCGTACAAGAGAAAAAAAGTTTTGATTGTCATGAAAATGTTACTGATTTCCAGGACCATGTCACTGATTTTCAGGAATTCATCCCCACTTATCAGTGATTCGCGGTTGTAAAATTCCGTCAATGTAAAATCCTGAAGTTTTGTGATTATGTCATCAATTTTTAGTGACACCACCACTAATTTCCAGTGACATAATCACTAATTATTAAAGACAATTAATTCTCAGACAGAGTAATGTCACTGATTTTCAGAGAGCCATTTCCAATTAAAGATAAAAATAAAAGATAAAAATCACTGGCAATCGGGGTCACTCTATTCTGTATCCAGTTGCACCAATAATTGTTGACAAATTCCCGAAAATCAGTGACGTGTCTCCGAAAATCAAAATTTTTTCTCTCTGCATACAAGCAATGACATCCAGAAACCTCCAGATTATCCGTGCTGTGACGTCTCGGTGTTAAATCATATGATCCATTAGGGAATGCCCACACCCGCGCTTCATAAATCCGAGTACCACCGATAGTATGAATGACAGCTGGCCAGGGGATCAGTCTGTGATGTGGACTCGCGTTGATTCTGCCATAGACACGCTGACCGAGTGACGTTATTGTATCTGTCGGTTATTGTGGACACATTTGGGTCGTGAAAATGCTCATTAAGGAAACGTCACTCAGGTGAGTATTTCTCTCAGCGAAAAAAATGCCACGAAATCGCGTCCAAAGCTTTTTAAGCTCTCGACGGTTTTCTCTCTCCCGAAAAACACGAATATCTTGGAAACGAGAGGAGATAGGTGGGTGCGGGTGGTGTCATTGAAAAGCGGGGGAAAAAGCCGGTGAAAACCCCCGGGGAAAGTCCTCCCCGCTCCATTGGTTCGCGTACGGGGAGAGAAAGTAATCTACGATAAGCGAAACTTCTTCGGCAAATATCTCGAAATCTAATGCGGAATAAAGGGGTTTCAAGTAGCTAACGGAAACGGAAATTTTTTGGACTCCACAGTGACAAAAGTTGGAGAAACATTACCGAACTAGTCAAGTAAGCGTGGAGCGAAGTCGATTTTCAGTACTTTTTCGTCCTATGTAAGGGAAAAAGTGCGAGACGAATAGTGAATTTTCCTCCGTTGACCCGGAAAAATTTATATTTATTTATATTTATCAAGACAAAAATTCGACGAGAGTTGTGACGTCATTGTAGGTCATCTGAGTGTTTCGAAATTATCATTTTTCAATCATATCATAATTTATTGTGAATAATTGAATAGAAGAAAAAAAATATCAGGCAGCGTAGAAACAATAAATAAAGAGGACCAAATGAAGATGATGAACCGAATTTCAAGCTTAATGAAAATGATTTCATTTTGTTTAGAATTTATTTTTAAAAACAATAAAAGAAAAATTTTATCAATACCCGATAGTTTCAGACAAAACAATATCCACAAAATTTTTCATTGATCCTACCCTATTGTTCGCTAAAAAATTAATTTTATAAAACAAATGAGAAATATCTGAGCGTTTCGAAATTATCATTCTTCAATCATGTTCTTTATTATATAAAAAAAAAAGAATTTCCCAAGTTTTACTTCGGATTTAGACATAATTTGTTCAGAATAATTGAATAGAAGAAAAAAATGTCAGGAAGTATAGAAACCACAAATAAAGAAGACCAAATGACGATCATAAACCGAATTTCAGCCCTAATGAAAAATCCTTATGATAAGACCAGCCAATCAGGCTTCAATTACCCCACTGATGTCAAGATAAACCGGGTCTAGTCGGTTGGTTAACCGGGTTAGAGTGTATCACACTGGTGGATGATAACAGCGGATAGCACCCGAGGGGAATTTTACAAGTGAAGGTGGATTGAAGTGGATGAAAAAAAAAATAATAAAGAAAGAAAGACCAAGGAAGAGGCACCTCGAGAACAAGGGGTTTGGAAAGCTCCTTGCGTAACCCCTCGCACACAATGAGCGAGCGCCACTCAGCCGCTGAATCAACCCCCACCCTCCTCGTCAAGTCCCTCTTTACCCCACCCCGGTCAACCCCAACCCCCCTGGGGTTGAGCCGCTTTTGCAAAACTACGTGATTATTTCAAAAAGCTCACGTCTGAGATGAGCCAGTCTTCTTTATCCCACCCCCCCTCTACCCCTCGCCTTCTTCACTTCTTATTCTTCCCATGTTGGTACATATGTACATGCATGTACTCTTGAATATCCTTTGTTCAAGGAATGAGTCATGAAAGGTATTAATAGGAAAATTTCTGGCATTTCAGAAATTCAGAATTTCAGAAATTTTTTTGTTTTTGACAATTTTACAAAATGATGAGTTAAAAGAATTTTTTTTTTTGAATCAAAAAAGAAAGATTCTGGTGATAAATGCTGTGATAATCATTTATATTTTGAATTATAATGCACTTGTGAAGCGACGAATTCTAATGTGAATGGCAAAAATAGTAAAAGAATGAGTTTAAAAAAATTGAACGGAAAATTTCGAAATTTTCCTTTGAAATTCCTCATTATTTTTGGAATTCTAGAAATAATTTTTAGCAATTTTATCGAACAAGTAAGTTGAAATAACATTTTTCAAATTAACAAAAATGATTCCGTTGACAAATGATATAAAAATCATTTATATTTCCAAGAAAACCGGAATTAAAGTTTAAAAATGGAAAATAAAAATCATAATGCCCTTTGGGAAGTGACAAACCGTTCCACAAATTTCAAAAACTGAAAAAAATGATTAAAAAATCAAACAAAAAAATGTTTGTCGAATTTGTTTTTGGAATTCCTCATTACTCTTATGTTTTAATATTTGAAAAGTTAAAAATTGACTTCGCCCATCCGAATAATTCCCTCTTAACATTGAAAATTGCTTTTGTTACAGTTGGCCAGGTCTTCCAGGTGCCCTTCCATCCCCAGCGTCCCCCACAGCAGTAATAGTATCCCCCGAGACACTCTCCCGCCACAGCAGCAGTTCCCCATCCCGAAATAATCGTCCAGTTGGTCAATTTGCCCTGGCAATTCCCTGCCCAGCGAGGCCGATACCGGCGGTATGTTACCCCGCGGCAACGTTCATCGACGTCGTAGAGGAGCCAGTGGGCCGGGACTTGGGAGCGTAAGTATAAACTAGAGAAATAAATAACCGACGAATGAAATCCACGCGGGGGAGAGCTGAGGACAAGGGGAGCATTCGTCATTGTCGTAAAATCGTATCTCTCGTATCTCTGTTCATAAATTTAAATCAAGAATTGAAGTGCACTATCAACGCTCCACTCTCCCCTAAACCTCTTTGACCAAACGGAAAGGAAAGATTTGCAAGGAAAGGCTCGGAATCACGTTGTCCACACGTGAACTCCTAATCCAACAATTACTGCCCACTTTAGGGATTATAAAACGACAACGCGTCGGATTGCGAGCAATTGAGCCAATAGTTTTTTATTTATGGGGACAGACGTGACACTTTGTTTCAATTTTTTTTCATTCATTCAAATGGATTAAGAACATTGTTACCAGTAAACATTTTTGCATTAACGATGCCTATTTTCGTAGATTAGAGGACAACGATTTAAAATTGACCTCAAAATGAATTTAATCTGTCTAATAATTGGAATTTGTCGTATTTATCTTCTTTTTTTTTAATCTTTCTATTCTCGTCTGTTTGTTCTACATATTGGAGATGAATATTTTATTTGAGTCCTCGCTAATGTTATTATACGGTATATTTTTGTAATAATAAATTGAACTGAACCGAATGTAGTTCGAAATTGATAAACTGAATGGATTGAAAATAATCTATTGATGAGTAATGAATGAATTTCAATGAATTGATCTGTACGCAAAGGTATGCATTGGCAACAACACTGAGCGCCCTTTACGGAAAGCTCCTCGTAGTGATGGGAATAGCATTTCCAATGGCGGAGGTGATATCCTCCTACATTCCCCCCTCGTTCTACGAAGCCTTCTACCTTTACCTCTACTTCGGCAGTATGTTTTTCCTCTTCATCATCTGGGCAATGATGCTCAAGGATGGTAAGCCCAAGCACAGTAAGTATCCGGTTAATTTCACCGGGAAAAACAAGAACTCTGGGTTCTTCTACACTGAGAAAACAAAGTTTTTTGAGAAATACATCTTTACTCATATCAAGAAACTCGTGGCTTGAAAATTTTCAAGAGCAAAATATCTTGCATTAAGAAAGAAAAACTTTCACCAAGAAATTTTGCACTTGTACTAAAGACGAAAACAATTTCTTGATGATAAGAAAGCGATACTCATACTAAGTAAAATTAAATTGATTCCTTCAATAGTTTTTTAGCCTCAATTATAAAATATTTTAATGCAAAAACCGCTTGAATTGATTTGAGAACTCATATTTTTTTCTTCAAATGAACCAATTGCCCTCTTCTTTCGGACAAAAATAGAACGTGCTTCTCAAGAAACTCTTCGCTTCTCACAATCATTATAGAAACTTTTTTTTCTGTCCCTAAAATCCCCAAAAATAACGACAATAAACTCCCCCTCCCCCCAGAGGGTGACCACAAGGACATCAGTGATTTGGACTCGAGTGGTTCATCAAGTGGTGCTGGTGGCGATAGTGATTCACCTGGAAATGGTAATCCCTATTTAGAAGAGCCCTCCCACCAACACTACGGCAGTTTCTACCTCCGAGTGGGTGCCGTTGCCTTCGGAATAGGTTCAATGATCTACTCTGGCCTGGAGTTTGGTCAGTACTTCGAGCTCGAGCAGAACACAAAATGCCACAACATCATGGTTGCTCTAACACCAGCAACACGAATGGCGTTTATCTTCATCCAGATGTACTTCATCTTCTTGAACAATGAGGTGGGTACACGAGTTTTATCGATCATGTTGAAAAAAAAAGAATGAGAGAAGTGCTCTGCCACCCTCGTCAACCACTGGAAAACGGAGATAATGAGGTGGAAGGGTGAATGCCCCTTTGGGTTTTATCAACGTTCGTTCATCCTGTCAACTTGAAATGCAACGTTTTTGCTTCCAAACGAAAGCTTTCTGCGTGGAGAAAAAAAGTTGGGGAAGAATTGCTAAACAAATCGAGTAATTGTGGAGCGAACTTCAGTTGTAGATCTTTTCCACTGATGAAAACATCAAATGTTACGATTTCATAAAAAATTACCATGTCTAGGAATTTTTCCGCGCAGTAAATTTTCACTTTTGTCCGTTCCCATAAAAACGGTGTACGTGTGGGGAATTTAACGGGAAACTGTTTACTGTACCGTGATGTTTGCATTCACATATGCCATTTTTTAAACTGGAAGAATCGTAAGTTAATAATTAAACAACACTTCGCTCCAAGATTATCTTCCATCTGTATAGCAAAATTTGTCGAGATTTTCTAGGGTGATTTTTCCTTCCGCGTAATCGTGATTTTCTTTCAAAAAGACTAAGAATATCATGAAAGAAATCTCTCCTTCTTTAAAAATCCTCGCGATGATATTACCTTTTCAATAGAATCGAAAAAAGCCTCTCCCACCACAAACAACACAGCGTTATCGTCACTTCCCCATTTTTCGACGAAATTTCTTGTTTCTTTCAGCAAATGAAGGTGTCTACGCATCGTGTTGTTGCACGCTTTGGACTCATGCATATGATTGGTACTAATTTGTCGGTTTGGCTCAATGTACTGGTGCAGGAGACTAAACATGAAATTCTCACGTTCTACAATCCTGAGAATAATTCGTTGAGGATTTCTCATCGCTTAGGCAAGTCATCTCATTACTTAATCCTAAAGAAGACCAATCTTTTCATTCGAGAGACAAGTATCATTGCAACGAATGATCTTGTTCTCAAAAAACAGTAAAGATTGCTCTTCATCTTCTCCGTTCGCATTCAATCCTTTCATAAACCGAATGACTCCCCCACAGGAGGAAAAATCCACTTCGCCGAGCACCTCCATGACCACCGCATCGAGCCAACTGACGTCTCCCACATTCGTCTGCCACGCGGTCTGAAAGGTCCCCACCACATGTTTGAGTGCAGACGAACCAACATAATAGGCTCCCTTGTGCAGGACGCCAGCCCCTTCCTCTTTCCCTGCACCATCGAGTACAGCCTAATCTGCGCAGCGATCCTCTACGTAATGTGGAAGAACATATCCAAGGTTCGACAACCGGTTCCAACAACACCTCCAGGAAGTCGTCATCACCCTCACGCTTATCGAAGATCACCGCACCACTACAGTGTGGATTGTGCAGGTGCTCACAAGGGTCTCTTCGTTGGAATCCTCATTCTGGTCCTCACGATCATCTGCTTGATTCTGTTCTTCGTCCTCATCTCGAGGCCTGAACTGGTGAATCTGGCTGTTACCGGGGTCAACATCTGTGAGTTGGCTCTCTATGGCATGTCCACTCTGGCGACTTTGATCGGAATGCTGAGAATGAGGAAGCTGCGGTACGACGGCAGCAGAAACCTAGAGCTGGACAACATTCTTCTCGTAGCAGCGCAAACCGGAATGTTCATCTACTCGACATTCACAATAATCGGAGGACACTTCACTCTAGAGAAGCACACAATCCTCGTTCTCATTACAGCACTGGCCAGTGTCGTACAAACAACTTGTCAAACAATCTTCATCCTCGACTCGTCGAGAAGATCGGTCTCAACGTCCGAGCAAATTCGCCACAAGCCAGGACGCGAGATTGTGACATTCCTTCTCGTTACGAATTTGGCAATGTGGGCCATCAATACTTTGGAAAAATCAAGGGCCGAGTCCCATCCTGTTCAGCTGCATTTTTACGGCCTCTGGGCTTGGACCATCATCACTCACGTCTCCATGCCACTCGCTATTTTTTACAGATTTCACAGCACAGTTTGCCTGTGTGAGGTATGGAAGAGAGCTTACAAGGTCAAGCCGACATACATGTGACGCAGGCGATCGTGCGGGACTAAGAAGAGAAGGTGCATTGATAGTCACAAACGTCATAAGAATGTCCCCAGGCTCGATGTTATTACCGAGAATGATCCGACTTATTTTATGTGATTTACGAGGTATTATTATCATGATTTATAAGTTATGGGTTTTTATATTGTGCTCAGGAAGAAATCAGTCGGTTGTCGTGTATTTAGACATTTGCTGTTTAGGGGTCATTGAAGTTATTGGAATCAGTAGATGAGATTTTTAGGAAGCTGAAGTAGCTCTATCGTTTTGGAAGTTTAGAGTTGGAAACTGGAAGCAATAGGGATATTTTCTGTAATCCTTCTGTAATGCTTCTCACGACTCTTCGTTTAGGAATTGGTATTCGTACTTTGCAAACTCGGAAACTTGAAAATTATTACAAAAAAATCTTGTCCCGGGCTGTTGCGGTGGGGTTTCCACTGTAGTAAAAAACCCCATCGGAACAGCTCGAAAAATACTATTTTTTTCTATGAGAAACTTAGTGAAATTTCTCATTTTTATCATTTTTATCATTTCAGAAATTTTTGCAGAAGGGATGATGACTTACTAGTGATCAATCATTTTTATCCCCATTTATCGATGGGATTTTTTCATTAACTTCATTTTTCTCAACCGTACTGATTCAATTTCTCAAGGCGCTCTTTTGACGAGAGATGGCGCTGATGCATCAGAGGTGTGATGACATTCAAGGTCATCTGCGCGTCTTGAAATCATCTTTTTTTACTCATTTTTGTAATCGTAAAAAGAAATTTTCAAAGTTTTCCCTCGAATTTAGACATAATTTAATATGGATAATTGAATGGGAGAAGAAACAAATTTCCGAAAATATCCCCATTCCCAGAAAATCAATTTTTTTAATGGGAAAAAACATTGGAAAATGAGTAATTTGGGATATTTTGGTTGTCAGTAATGATTGGAATCTCATTTTCAATCTATACATTTTCTCACAACTAATGAAGAATGTAACATTTGTTGAAGAAGTTCCATTATCTATTCATGATAAAACAATGATTGGAAAAAATTAATTTTGTCCATTTCTTTTCACAATTGAGTTGAAAAATTGAACAACAAAAAATATCCAAATCTATAAAGCTACTTTAAGTAACAAAATAAAAGCCATTCTGATCGATCTATTCTCAAGGCATCGAAAAGAAAAATTTCATCCTCAGATGACTTGAGACCTATTGTAGCAAAAGAGTTATATATTAGAAATTTTCCTGGCTTTTCATACTCTCCGAATTGTTATCACGATATAGAGAAAGTAAGAATAGATCCACTTCCCTCCACCTGATCAGAGATAAGATAAAAAATCAATTTGTAAAATTGATCAAGTCAGGATGAGTTGGAGCCCGTTTTACCGTTCGATATTAGGTATTTCCGGTTTAATCCAAAGCGGATACAAAATACATACGCCAAACGACGGTCGTCCGTACAACGCCATCCCACTTAAGTCCAATTGAAACGATACGAATATGTAATATGTGTAATAAACGTGCACTAGACGTGTCTATGTATTTTTTTTTCGGTTCACCATCGGGTCGTAGTGGTATAGATCATTAGAACGTCAATTTAGGTTTCAAGAGGTGATGTGTATCTGGTTGCTGATGATATCGCGTGAAGAGGAGCTTTGGATTCGATGATCCATGCATTAAAAAATTGTAGACACTCCAGGGGGAATCTCGTCGTACCCAAATAGAGGGGAATTTTTTGATAATTCATTGGGAAACTGAACAGGGATTGGTATTTGTAGATGTAGATTATCTTCATATCACGTACATGGAACAAATAAATGGGATCAATTTGATTCGAGACTGAAATATCATGCTCAATTTAATCTTGGGGTGAATGATAAAGTGTATGATGATGAACAAGCATTTTTCATTGATAATTTTGCACTGATATATCGAATATTCAGAAATGAAGGAATTTTTGTTGTCGTGATTGAATGGTTTTTGTAAATCGTTTTATGTTGAGATTTATTGGCTTGAGTTTCCAAAGAAAATTTTGCACAGAAATTATCCAGACTTTTTTTCGCAGTATTAGATGAAGATTGGAATTTCACGAATTCGGAAGATTTTAGAGAAATTCAAGTGCAAATAAGGTGGAAGCTTTGAAACTCAATCGTTTTTTCATCATTTTCACGAAACATTGAACTGAAATTTATAATGTCTGTTGATTTCCTCATCAATGTGCTATTTTTAAATCAGAAAATTCCTTGAAACTCAATACAAAAAAGAAAAACACTGTTGAAAAGTTTTAACAGTGAAAAACGGGAACCAAAAATTCTGTTGTCATGATTGAATGGTTTTTTCAAATCGTTTTATGTTGCGATTTATCGGAATCAATTTCTAAAAAAACCATTTGCATAGAAATTATTAACATTTTCAACAGATTTAAGAGAAACTCAAGTGACAATAAGATGAAAATTTCAAAACTTACTTGACTTTTCATAATTTTCACAGAACATTGCATTAAAATTTACAGTTTTCATTGATTTTCTCATCAAATTGTAATTTTTAACAGAAAAAAATTTCCTGAAATTCCAGTGAAAATTCCATACAAAAGTTTTTAACAAGTGATTTATAACTCCTAATGAGTGTGACACGGTAAAAACGGGAAACAAAAATTGTGTTCTCATGATTGGAATATTCTTTATGAATCGTTTTATGTTGAGATTTATTGGCATCGATTTCTAAAAAAAAATATTTGCGCAGAAATTATTCCCATTTTCTTTCGCACTGTTAGAAAAAGATTGGAATGTTGCGAATTCGACACATTTGCGAGAAATTCAAGTGAAAATATAATGGCAATTTAAAAACTCACTTGATTTTCCATCATTTTTACCAAACATTGCACTGAAATTTACAGTTCCTATTGATTTTCTCATCAATTTATAATTTTTAAATGAAGGAATTTCCTCAAATTCCATATCCAAGTTTTTAACAGTATGATTTAAACTCCTGATGACTGTGACACGGTAAAAACGGAAAATCAAAATTGATTAATTGAAGTAGAACCATTGTACCATAATTTTGAATGATTCAATCATACTAAACAGATTTTTTTTAAACTGTAAATATTCGCAACGATCCAGCTCGATGTTTTCTTAGACTAGAGAGAAAAATCTTCCTCACGTAATGCATAGGTATATTACATTATAAATAAGATGCTATTATATTATAGATATATTATATACATTTATATACGAGATTTATATATTTATTATTGCGTTATACAATTATATGATATTTATTGCCAACTCATAATACGCACAAGATGAAAATTAAAGTGAAACGTTGACGATAGTTGAGATTTGCATCGGGATGGCCGTTTATTTATGTAAAAAGTGAATTTGTTTCGACTGATATAGAGAGAAAAAAAGTGTTTTTTCATTGTTGCTTGGCGGGCTTCAGCTCGTTTTAATTAATCAGAGTTATTGAAGCTCGTCTGACTCTCGATGGGAGTCTCAACATCTCTTTATGTATCTCCTATTAAATTATCTCTTCTGTTCAAAATGACGATAACAAATGATTATGTAAAATCGCTGTAACATTTTCATGTCCGCATAACTCTAGTTCCTAATGCGATGTTTGTACTCTTATACCCTTTATACTATTTGTACCTTGCGAAAAATGAGAGGATTATGCAATACACTCGTCCGCAATAATTTATCTTTATTGATTAACCATTTCAGGGGATTTCAATGGTCGATGGACTGAGAGAAAAAATTAACTAATGGCACAAAACTAATTTATTCGGTCAAGTTGGTTGGAATTTCCTGTAAATTCTTTGGAGACAGTAAATTTCAGTCCGAATTTCCAGAGAAATGTGAAATTTCATAATTTTTTTTTCCTTTAAAATGAATCAAATATAGTGATATTTAATTTATTTTGAAGGAGAAAAACAATGAAATTCCGACGGACTTTTATCTTCTCATTTCAAAATTTCATTATCGTTTTGAAGATATCATCTTCTTAAATATTAAATAAATAAATAAATAACTAAATAAAATTTTCTTTGTCATTCAGTATTGTACCGTTTCTTCTGTTTCGTGCAGAAGACCACATTTTAGAACTAATTTCTGTAATATTCGGTCTTTTTTCTCTCAGTCTGTTAATTTGGGGATTATGGACATTTTCAGTCATACATTCATTTACATGGGGGAGTCGTAATGGGGTAAGTAGACGAAAATTTCATTAATATTCATGAGGGTGATATCAAGTTGCATTAAAATAATTAATTTTTCCATTCCATTCTTCACGAGGGTTTGAACATACCGGTAATATGAGATCTACCTTTTTGAATAAATCAGAATGTAGAATTAATTATTCAATCCATTAATATTCACACGGAGAACAGCTTCATAAATCTTTTTCATATTAAATCATTTGTTCAGATTGAATAACACAAGGACACTTCCATTGAACCCATTGAATTCTCAATTTCGTTGACCCAAAAACCCAACATCTCTGTTAATAAATAAATACATTGAAGTGGATCCCAAACCTCCCGTGTCTCCCCTCTCACGGAGATATTTTAAATATAGAAGAGTACATGAACTTGACTCTTCCAAATAGATCGAAATGAATTAAATTACGAAATACAGACGCTCCCATGAATGCTAATACGACAAATCCTTCCATTAAAAATTTTAAATATTAAAATCCTGATGGAATTTGAAGGCCAAAAAGGAATACAGATAATCGATAATTCAATTATCTCATTCCCTTCACTCTAAACTTTGAAATTCCCATGCAAAACCCCTTCACGTATCGATAACCCCACAATTGCCTACTTACGCTCTAAAAAAAAACTTGATAACCACTGAGCAACGGAACGTAATCCATAAACCCGGGAGGCATCACATGTAGTCCTACATCCAGGGAAATTGCGCGTTTGAATTGAATAAAACTTTTCATTCGGAATAAAAACAGTAAGTTTTAATTAATGAAATCAACTATTTATTTGATTCAAATCAAGTATTATCACTTGTAAATAAATTCTGTCTGTTCGTTTTCCAAACAACTATATTATTTCTAAATAATAAAGTATTTTTTCACACACCTGCACGGAAAGTTCGTACTTTGCTCCCTGATGAGCGGGAGGAAAGTGAGTACTTCCCGCTCATCAGGGAGCAAAATACGGACTTTCCTTTGCAGGCGTGTTAAAAAATAGCATGTGCACCTCGGGCGGGAAAACATGACTTTCCGCCCTTGATGCACAATATACTATTTAGATCCAGAGAACATTTTTTATGCTTAAAAAACCCTTCTTTTGATATTTTTCTCGTCACTCCAGCAGTACGTTTTATTCACATGCAATAAATAATTCATTCATTCTGCAAAAATCCTTCATTAGAATTGAATGAATCATTTAATTAACAGAAAGGAGGGATTGTGGTATCTCAATAAATTTCTTCGGTTCGCCATCCGATCAATGACTTTATTTCTTTTTTTAAAGTCCTTATTTAGAAAAAAACTATTTACCAGAAATTTTTCCATTCATTTCAACCCTAAACCTTCTCATTCGGGATTTTTTTATTCATTTTACCAATAGGTTGTAATTGCATGAAATCAATGGTTCATTTGATTCAAATGAAGGATTATCACATGTAAATAAATTCTTTCGGTTCGCCATCCAAACAATGATTCTACGTCTTCCCATGAACTCTTCATTTACATCAAGAAAACATGTGTCTAAATTAAAAACACTATTGATTCATCCCGAATGCAGACATAAAAAAACCTCAGGTTCAACGCTGAAGAAACGAATTTATTTAACTCAAATAAACATTAATTCCTCTGGTTGAGCAGGCCACAATCCCCTCGCCACCGCAGCCCTCGCCCAATGAAAAAAGAATCCCCTGAATACGTTGGAAAATTCTCCCCGCCACCGAGGGCATTGTGTATTGATCCCGTTTCCCATCGCATGGGGTGTGCTGAACCACCCCCATGGCAGCCATTAACGTATCCCATGGTTTTACAACCCCCACCCCCCTCCCCCCCGAAGTAGGGGAACCCCCCACTGAATCCAAACGTTTGACAGGACTCCTCTCCACCCCTACTGGGGGCTGAAGAGCGCTGGTGCACGTCGTGACACGGGGCTGGACTTTTGACCGAATACACGAGAATCTATTCCTGGATTATTTCCATTTCTCGGGCGCATGCTCCCACAAACTTGTTTACATCAGGCACTTCAAAGGAGCCACGCACGCCGAACGAATCGTAACTCATCAACTCTCTCTCCTCCTCGACCCGAGTGTGTCCTCATTTTCCATTAAAAAAAAGCGTTAGACAAAGAGCAAGAGATTTGAAAGGGAAAAATTCACCGTTTTTTTCATCCTATTCGCGTAAGGGGAGCAGCGAAAAGGTGGAAAATTATTTTTGTGATAGAAGTGGGTGAGCCAGTGGTGAACACGAGGTCGACAGAGTGCCGGGTGGAATCGTCCATGGCGGACACCAAGCCGAGAATCGTTAAGTGTCACATCATAGAATCGGTCGACGTCTAGCGGCTGCGTAAGTTCATCATTAATTAATTATTGACTAATTGCAAAAATCCCCAGACACCTGGACAATTATTTTCATGAACTCGTCATCACATTTGGGATATTTTATTCTAGTTTGAGGTGAGGGTGTGTACCGGGGAGTCGTGTGGGGGATTGAGGTGAGAGGGTGCGTTTGCCAATTTAAAAAATACTCCTTGGCTTGGCGGTCACCCTCGGCGATGCTCCAACGACGCGTGCAACCCCATGCGCGTCTCGCTTCAACCCTCTACGTTATTATGGGGGGGGGAGGGGTAACCCGAGGGTCTATATCTGTGCATGACGCGGGAATCTGCCACGAGGAGACGATCGATCTTCTTTGTTCTATTCTGTTGTGCTCTGGGGGATTTTGACGATTTTTGCTTCCGAATGGAAGCTTTGCGTTTTTTTTTAAATTTATGTATTAACCTGCGATGGGTTTTTTACAATCATGTAGGTGGATATTACAATATTTTTTGCGTAGTTGGTTGCCTTTCTTTAGGTACGATAATTAATACGTGTTTTAAATTCTAATTTTACATCTTTTAAGAAACTGGTAGATGATTTGTAGTGGTTCAAGGCCCTTTACGGTCGGGAAATGGAAGCTTTGTAATCTTTCAAATATAGATTTTGGATTTTTTGGGTTATATCGATCCAGTGCGATCTAAAAAGTCCGAAAATGCAATTTTTAGAACTCGTCCGTTCGTGTGTAACAAAGTTTTACTTCAATTGTTCGGTGATGAATGGATGGAATTGATTTTTTTTTCAAATGTAGGCATTGTTGAGCCCTAGCAATAAAAATTTAATTTACTGATTGGTTTTTTAAAATTTTTGATTTTTTTCTAAAAAATGTCCTGAATTGATTGAATTACGGCTTAAAAAATTTGTTTTAGTGTCCTTTCACTGAGTTCGAAGATGAAGGTGATGGCAATAATCGTTATTTTGATTTATTTGAAAATTTGAAAAATTTTTTTTGAAAATTGACTTGTTTTATTTTTATTGATTTATTTATCGAACCGATCGATTTATCGATGAGTTCAGGGTGTTTTATTCATTGAGATGGGATCAGACTGACGGACTGTCGTGAGACAAAGGACAGCTTTTAGGCGAGATTAATCCCCGTCTGATGGATTTTTTTGACGTTTTTCTTGCGCTTTATTTCACGTCGAATAGTAAATTATGGAGGAGACATTTTCCGATATCTTTGTGGAGTGATAAGGGAGAATTGACAATGGGTAGACAGGTATCTTGACTTTGCATAACCGGGGAAATGACAAAGAGTCGACGTCTGCGGCCGATAGGAAACATTGGGCAAAGTTCCCGGAGCCCGTGGCATTGAATCCTCTCGACGATTTAGAAAAGGGGGAAATGGATTTTGAGGGCCGACGAGGGGATGCAGGAGGGGTGCTGTCGATGTACCAGGGAGAGGGTGGCTTTTAACGGTGGGGATAGCGTCCCGGCATATCGCTCGGGCTTGTCAAGGCGTCTGGACGCTGCCGCGTCGGCTGTCAATTTTTGTTGACGAAATTTCGAAGGGCGCAATTCAGGTGTTGATGAGTTTTTAATCGGGACGTGGGGGCGGGTGGTCGATAGGTGAGGGTTCGACGACCGGATATCACCGGAGTTTCATCTCAGTCACGTGCGTCGACAGGTTTTCCCAGGTGCTGTCAACAGTAGTGGGACACGCGAGGGGCTGTGAGTGCGGAGTTGTGACGATTATTTTTTAAACTACTGGCAGGAGAATTTAATATTGGTATTTAGGGCTAAGTGATTGAATTATGGAGGTAAGATGGTGGTGGGAATTATTTATTTTGTTGTTATATAATGCTTCTTATTTTTATTAATTTTTCATTCATTCAGTTGGGTTTTAATAATCACGTGAACAATTAATTAAAATTGAGAGCGGTGTGATGGAATTGAGGAAATCCAAGTACTTGAGTTATTTTTTCTCCAGCGGAATGGCTTTCATTTGAGCCCCATTTGACCCTAAGTTTCCGGATATTTTGTAATGATTTTGTAATTTGAACTTTGGAGGTCTGAATTTGAATCTCGATATTGAACCGTTGGAAAACATTTTAACAATCTTCAAAAAAATAGAAAGTTTGCTCTTGCAGGAAGATTGATGAAATGATTTAAAAATTGCAATTTTTCAAAATTACGAGCATTTTCTATGAATAATTATAAAGAATCGTTTCTTTTCATTTATTCATCTCTTTAGTGTTACAGACGTTTTCTTTGTTTTACGCCTATGCAGGCCTCTTCTTTTTAATAATTAGATAACGTCAATTATATAAAATTTCTTCTAAATTCATATTTCCATTCAATTTAACTCTGTTTTAAATAAGTTAATTTATAAAACATCAATCTTTTACAATAAAAATCATTTGTTCGGAGTCGTAACGAATTTATTCATATCCAGAATTTTACCAGAAATCGATTTCATGTCTGATAAATAAGTTTCCGAAAGTTTAAACAATTTCAATTATTTATTTATTGAAAACAAATGTCTAAAAAATCATAATTCTGTGTAAAATGTAATTTGAAAATTGTTGAATCAATATTGTAATCTGTACTAAACTGTAAAAGATCCTTGGATATCCTCAAGTTGAAAATTATTCCATTGCGGAAGTGTTGAATTAAAATTGATATTGTTGAAGACAATCACAACAAAATTAACAGAATAAAGCAGAAATAAGAATCAATTAAAAAGGAAAATAACGTGGAATTGTTTTCGATGAAAACCCGTTGAAGACAATCACAACAAAATTAAAAAAATAAAGTATCAATAAGAATGAATTAAAAAGAAAAAAAAACGTGGAAGTGTTTTCGATGAAAAACCGTTTGAATCAGATTGATGAAGTGTTAAATCCCTGAAATCCACTCGAGAGTAAAAATAACGTGAGGTCATGGGTTCGAGTTTACGCTAGGCAAATTCTAGGGTGATAGTTTCCCCAACGCGCTCACAGGTGGTCGTCACGCAGTCTGGCGCGACTAAAACTTCCCTTCGGTGTTTGTTGGTACTTTGGCGTCGGTAGAGTTGGGTTTTATCAAGACCCACCCCCCCAATAGGGTGGGCGACATCGATTTTCCGGGAAGGACAGACGTACCGGCGTGATGGAGGAGAGGGAAGGGAGGGGGCCGAAGCCCGAAGGGATGAAGCTCCGTTCACTGACTTCCGTTTCCGTTTGTTGTGACGCCACACTGGCGCTTCAGGACGACCCACACCGCCTCAACCCATTGTTTTATAGTTGTACGTGTTGCTCGGCGCTGCCGGACCTCACCCAACCTCACCCGGAGATTTTGTTTGGAGTATTTGGGGGAGTGTAAACAATTGTTTGTGTAATTACGCGGATTTTTGGGGGGTTTCATTGTGAAGTTTTGAGGGAAGTGAGGTTTGAGGGGAATATTGGGCCCGCGGAAGGGTTGGAGAATCAGTGGAGTCAGGTAAAACGGACCATTTTTTATCGTTAGGAGACTGTTGGTGATTTTTGGCTGAAATTGCAAGGAATTTTTCAATTGAAAATTGAAAATTTTATGGGAAAATCAATGGAAACTGCAAATTTTTGGCTAATTATTCCATGAAAATTGGTATAAATCAGGGAAATTCAGGTAAGTTGAGATGTTCTCGTCTGCCTGCAGCTAGAAAATTTGGAATTTTACTGAATTTTCAGTGAAATTTTAAATAATTTTTCGTGTAATTACGGGGATTTTTGGGGAGTTTCGACCGCGGGACCCGCGGGTATCAGTGGAGTCGGGTGAAATGGACCATCTTTGATCGTTAGTTGGTGATTTTTTATTGAAATTGCCGGTGCACTTATTAGGAGTTTTTATCAGATTGAAATTACAAGGAATTTTTTCATTGATAATTCAAAATTTTATGGAAAAATCAATGGAAACTGTGAATTTTAGTTCAATTATTCTATAAAAATTTATAGAAATCAGGGAAATTCAAGTTCTCGTCGTCCGATAGTTCACAAATTTAAAATTTTCGGAGAGTTTTCATCATCGAGGTTTGAGGGGAGGGGACTATTGAGTCCGCGGGAGGGCTGGAGAATCAGCGGAGTCATTTTTGTCTCAAATTTCCGATGCACTTGTTGGGAATTTTTATCACATTGAAATTTCAAGGAATTTTGTCATAGGAAAATCAAACTTTTATGAGAAAGGGAATAGAAACTGTGAATTTTAGTTCAATTATTCCATAAAAATTCATAGAAATCAGCTAAATTCAAGTTTTCGTCGTCCGACAGCTACAAAATTTAAAATTTCACTGAAAATTTAATTAAATTTTCACTGAAAATTTAATTAAATTTTAAATAATTCGTGCAATTACGGAGATTTTTGGAGCAATGTGATTATGAAATTTTGAGGGAAGTGAGTTTTGAGAGGAGAGGAGTATTGCGCCCCCCCGGGGG